TGCTGGTGCAAATCGTACACATGTGATTCAATCTGTCATTGTCGATCATGAATTTGGTTGGCACTTCTATTATAGAGAAAGGGTGAATAGCGATATTAAAATGTTCTAATTAATTTCTTTTCAATGTGCACGAATCCATCCACTAATGTATAAAATAAGCTGTAAAACTGCCATTCTCCAGAGCATTTTTCTCAGTCTGTTGAGATTTTGCTTCCTGGTCATTGTCATCAGTTTGGCTCAACTAAACTCTTATAAGACTTTTTCTTAGGCTGAACATTCTTTCATGGACAACTATATAGAGACAATAAATATAAATATCCTCAAAAACAAAGGTAATATTAAAACATAACAAAATAACTTTGTGATCTGTTTTGAGTATTTGACTTTGGTTTGTAATATAATTTATTTAAGTGTAAGTTTATATAATTTAATTGTTTATAATGGCTGAATTTAAACATTGGCCCTCAAAATTCCTAGAAATTTAACCATGGGCATTTGCAACCACACTATTGCATGATCTGGAGCCTGCCTGACATGCCAGACTAATTTTTCTTACTGTGTGTCTCTTCCCTTTAACCCTTTGCTTTGTGGATATTAGAACATTTTCACCTTCTTAACTAAGCTGCTTTTGCCACTAACATTTCCCCCCTTGCCTTCACCCATCCACCTAGCAAATACCTTGCCCCATTCATTGGGCAAACACATACTCATCTTTTAAGACTTAAAGTCATTTCACTTATAAACCTTTTCCATAATCCCCTACCCTCTTCCTCTAGGTATAATTGTACCTTTGTATCTTGTGTATAGTTTTAGCATGATACCTGGCTGGCACATATTGTTTACAAGTTTAGCTTGGCTGCTAAACCATGTCGCCATGTCTCATTCATTTTTTTAAATCTCAATACATGGGCACTTAAAAACTATGTTGAAAAATTAACTATACCAGTAGACACACAGTAAATACAGGGTTGAGCCAATTTCCACTGTCACTCCTCCAGGGAATCATGCTTCTTTTCTGTAATAACTTCCTGTGAATTTCTGGTCACATCTAACCTATACCTTGCTGGCGCCGTATCCTCTCCAGAACCTTGAGCTCAAACATTCACTTAAAGCACCCAGTTATTTTGTTACAATGGGAAGAAATCTTTGGGTATAAAAGATCTGCAAAGCATAGCCTGAAAAAATATAAAATGGGGGCAAATGCACCTCCTTCAGAATTGTTTCTATCTTTATTAACAAACCAAATCTTCCTTAAAGTAATTCCAGCTGCAGAGAAAGTGACATACCTAAACCCTGGGCCTCCCTTTCCTTATTCTGAGGTTGCAATTGCCCTTATTGCTGCCACCCATGATGCAACTCAGTGACGTTCAAAATTCTGCTGACAGTTTTCCCTCCCTTTCCCTAAGCTCGAAGTCTCTGGAGAGAGTTCTGTTGTCTGTAGAACCTCTCCAACCAAGGATTCCACGCAGCATCAAGACCTTCATTAGTCAGCCCTTCTCATGCTTTTTTTTAAACTGGCTGCTCTCCTCAAAACTACTCCTGAATCTCCCACAACCCTTAGTTTTTCAGAATTTTCTTCCCTAAGCCTTCAACTACTGACCACTAAGTCTTTTCTCAGGCACACCCACCACTTATGTACTAAGTAATTAAATTTTCACCAGTCCAGGCTCCAGACAGCAGTAGACTTTTTTGCAATACATGTATTATTTGAGGAGTCATTTCCTGCACAGCTTCTAATCAATTTCCCACAGAAACAAAGATCACCACCCCATGTACTAGAATTGCTTTATCTAATGTGCCTGAGTCAAATGATCAATCGTTCCTGAGGCAAGAATTATACTCTGTTTCTCTCGAGCACAGTATTTGAAACAGCTAAGTGCTCAAAAACTATTTGTTGAATGAACCAGAGAACAATTTTTTGCTGTTTCTCTCACGATAAGTACCCAGAGACTTAGACAAAACCAGTAAGACTCAATCTTTACTCCCAGACTAGGAAGATAAACTGCCAAACCCCTTAGCAATTATAAAAAAAAAAAAAATCAGGTCAACATAAGTCTGATGATTTCTTCTGAAGTCTTGTTTGCAAACATAGTTACTACTGATAATACATTAGTTGTCCTCTACTGTTCCTTAATGAAAATAAAATCTTTACACCCTATCCAAATCTTTTATTCCAAGAGTTCTTAGCATATGGAGCTCCTTTTATTTTTTAAAAATACATTTTATTGATTTTTTAGAGAGAGGAAGAGAGAGAGATAGAGAGTCAGAAACATCTACGAGAGAGAAACATCAATCAGCCGCCTCCTGCACATCTCCCACTGGGGATATGCTCGCAACCCAGGCACATGCCCTTGACCGGAATCGAACCCGGGACCCCTCAGTCCGCAGGCCGACGCTCCATCCACTGAGCCAAACCGGCTTCGGCTTGAGCTCTTTTTAATTTATAGAACATGCTCTCGGTGTCTTTCTAGTAAAAACAGGATTAAAAAGCTGCAGTCCTTGAATAAGTCAACCTGAGGCACAACAGTTTCCCACAGGATGGAAGTTTCTGGATGAAATCTGGCTGGCAGCAGAGCCAGTTAATGGCTGCAGCTCTCAGCCCCTCCTGTCCCATCCTGCCAGACAACTGTTCCCTCCGTCAGGGGAGAGCGGCTTGGCAACCCCCGACAGATGGACAGCTGACTGCCTGGACCCTCTCCCAGGCCCCATCCCCAGTGCAGCTGTGCGCTGGCCTGGGATCCGAGGGGCCGCGTCCCGCAGAGGAGGGGCAAGAATCCTGCAGCTGAGAAATGAGAAAGAAGCTCTCAGCCGGAGGGAGGCGGCGGGCTTGACTGACAACAGGAGAGGGCTGGCTTTTTGGAGGGCTCTTAGCAACGGCCCTGGTGTGACCTCCCTCAGCCTGGAGAAAATCGAATCAGTGCACCATTCTAGCAAAAGCCATGCAGCACAGGCAGCTGACCGTCAAGGCGGCCGTCCTCTCTGCCTGTTAATCACCTGCTCCGTCCCATCTCAGGGTCCCTGCCACTGCAAAGTGCTACTGGAAGGAGTGAGAAACGACCACCCAGCTCCCTTGCTGCCTGTGAATGTGAGTCCCCGCGCATCATCCCCTTGGGCTGATAGGCGGGACCGAGAGGCGGGTTCCAGCGCCCCCCTCCCCCCGGACCCGCAGGGGCTTTATTCTAGAGTCGCTGGCGCGTGGCTGCGCTTTTCTTTCTTGTTTGTAGGTGAAATCCCCGTGGCTTCATTGGCTCCTTGATTTAAACCACGCCCGGTTTTCTGCCCGCTGTGCTGCCGCGGGGCCAGGCGGCCCGGCCACCTCCAGCCCCGCGCTATTGTGTGGATGCCGCGCGTGTCCTCTCTTCTTTGCAGCGATGGCTAACCGGGGCCCGAGCTACGGCTTAAGCCGAGAGGTGCAGGAGAAGATCGAGCAGAAGTACGACGCGGACCTGGAGAACAAGCTGGTGGACTGGATCATCCTGCAGTGCGCCGAGGACATCGAGCACCCGCCCCCCGGCAGGGCCCATTTTCAGCAGTGGTTGATGGACGGGACGGTAAGGACGACGGGATCGGGATCGGTGGGCAGGGCAGCCTCCGGGGCCTTCCTTCTCTTTTCAGGTG